AGCAAAAGAAGTTTAAAAAAAAGCAGAAAGTAAATTAAGAGGAAAAATAAAAGTGCCATTGTTTCTAAATACAAGAGAGTGTGGTTAAAGAAGTAGAAAATAAGTATCTAAAAGAAATGGTATCAAGAGGAAATAGGAGATGAGTATAAAACTAATGATTGCACATGGCAGTGTACAGGTTACTGAGAATCTCAAGCTAGTGCAGGTTCAGTGTGTTTGAAATGGAAACCTTGTTGGATCACAAGTAGGAAAAACAGGAAGGACAAGAAGTCGTGATAATAGTTAATGCTTTAAAAGATTTACTGGGAAGGGACTGGAGATATAATGGAGGTGAAGGATATGTACACGGAGTTTTTGTCATTGTATATTTTTAAATGGTAAAACTTAGAGCATGTTTTTATGCCACTGGGAATGAATCAATAGAAATGGAGAAAATCATGATTTAGGTGAGAAAGGAAGCAACAGTAATAAGACCTTGAGAAGGACCACCTTGTTGAAGTGTTGTCTCTTGTAATAGAAAAAAAGCCAGAGAGTATAAGATGAGATGTATATGAAATTGTGGAGTAGGAATATGGTAGAATAGATTCCTTTCAACTGTTTTGAATCATTATTTTACATATATACTACATCTTCATTCATCTATGGATGGACACTTAAGTTGCTTCCATATCTTGGCTGTTGTAAATTATGTTGCATAAACATAGAGATGCATGTATTTTTTTTTAGAGTTTTTGTTTTGTTTGGGCAGATACCCAGTAGTGGAATTACTGGATCATATAGTAATTCTATTTTTAATTTTTTGAGGAACCTCCATGCTGTTTTTCCACAGTGACTGCACCAATTTGCTTTCCCACCAATAGTACACAAGGGTTCCTTTTTTTTTCCACATTCTCAGGAACAACTTGATATTCTTTTTGATTCTAGCCATTCTGACTAGTGTGTGGTAGTAACTCATTGTGTATTTTATTTGCATTTCCCTGATGATGAGCAATGTTTGAGCATCTTTTCATGTGTCTGTTGGCCATTTGTTTTTCTTCTTTGGAAAATTTTTTGTTCAGGTCCTCTGCCCATTTTCAGTTAGAATTTTTGGTGTTCAGTTGTATAAGTTCTTTAAATATTTTGGATATTAGCCCTTTTTGGATATATCATTTGCAAATACCTTCTTTCATTCAGTAAGTTGCCTTGTCGTTTTGTTAATGGTTTCCTTCATGGTGCAAAAGCTTTTTTATTTTGATATAGTCCCAATAGATTAATTTTGCTTTTGTTTCCCTTGCCAGAGGAGACATATCCACGAAAAATGTTTCCATAGCAGACGTCAAAATTACTGTGTAAGTTTTCTTCTATGGAGTTTTATTTTTGTGTGGTGTAAGAAAGTCATCCAGTTTTATTCTTCTGCATGTAGCTGTTCAGTTCTTCCAGCACTATTTGTTGAAGAAACAGTCCTTGCCTCCTTTGTCATAGATTAATTGATCATCCAAGCATGGATTTATTTCTGGAGTTTATTGTGTTATATTGATTTGTGTGTTTATTTTTGTGCCAGTACCATAATGTTTTGATTACTACAGCTTTGTAGTATATCTTGAAATCTGGGATTGTGGTACCTGAGCTTTGTTCTTTGTTTTCAAGATTGCTTTGGCTATTTGGGATCTTTTGTGGATTTTAGGATTTTTAGGATTTTAGGATTATTTTCTTTTAGTTCTGTGAAAAAATTTGTTGGTATTTTGATAGGGATTGCATTGAATCTGTAGATAGCTTTGGATAGTATGGGCATTTTAACAATATTAGTGCTTCCAATCCATAAGCATGGACTATTTTCCCATTTGTTTGTGTCATCTTCAATTTCTTTCATCAGTGTTTTATAGTTTTTAGAGTACAGATCTTTCACCTCCTTGGTTAAGTTTATTTCTAGGTATTTTATTGTTTTTGGTGCAATTGTAAATGGGATTGTTTCTTAATTTCTTAAATTCTTAAACTTTCTGCTACTTCATTAGTAGTGTATAGAAATGCAACAGATTTCTGTATATTAATTTTGTATCCTGCAACTTTCTGAATTCATGTATCAGTTCTAGTAGTTTTTTAGTGGAGTCTTTAGAGTTTTCTATATATAGTCATCGGCAAATAGTGAAAGTTCTGTTTCTTCCTTAGCAACTTGGATGGTTTTAATTTCTCTCGTTTTATTTATTTATTTTTTTTGGCCTAATTTCTCTGAGTAGGACTTCCAGTACTATGTTGAATAAAAGCAGTGAGAGTGAACATTCTTGTCTTGTTCCTGATCTTGGAGGAAAAGCTCTCAGTTTTCACATTAGGTATGATGTTAGCTGTGGGTTTTTCATCTATGGCCTTTATATGTTGAGGTATATTCCCTCTAAACCTACTTTGTTGAGAGGTTTCATTATAAATGGATGTCGTACTTTCTTTGTCAAATGTTTTTTCATCACCTATTGAGATGATCATGTTTTTTATTCTCTTGTTAATGTGATGTATCATGTTGATTGATTTGTGAATATTAAATCCCTCTTAAGTCCCTGGCATAAATCTCACTTCATTGTGGTAAATGATTTTTTTATGTATTTTTTATTGGATTTGGTTTGCTAATATTTTGTCGAGGATTTTTTAATCTATGTTCATCAGGGATATTGACCTGTAGTTTTCCTTTTTTGTGTGTGGTGTTTTTATCTGGTTTTGATATCAGGGTAATGCTGGGCTCCTAGAATAAATTTGGAAGCTTTCCTTCCTTTCTATTTTTGGAGTAGTATGAGAATATATATTAACAATTTTTTAAATGTTTGGTAGAATTCACCTGTGAAGCCATCTGGTCCCAGGCATTTAGTTTTTGACTACTGATTCAATTTCATTGCTAGTAATTGGTCTGTTCAAATTTTTCTTCCTGATTCAGTTTTGAGAGACTCTTTGTTTCTAGGAATTTATCTATTTCTAGGTTTCCAATGTTTTGGCATACAATTTATCATAATATTCTCTTATAATCCTTTGTATTTCTGTGGTGTCAGTTATTTCTTCTTTTTCATTTCTTATTTTATTATTTGAGTCCTCCTGTTTCTTTTTCTTTGTAAGTCTACCTGAAGGTTTATCTCTTTTATTTTTTTCCAAAGAACCAGCTCCTGGTCTTATTGATCTGTTTTATTGTTCTTTTGGTCTCTATGTCATTTATTTCTACTCTAATTTTTATTATTTCCTTCCTTCTACTGGCTTTTGACTTTGTTTTTCTTCTTTTTTTAATTTCCTTTGGGTGAAATATTATTTATTTGATATTTTTCTTGTTTCTTGAGGTAGGCTGTAATGCTATAAACTTCCCTCTTAGAACAGCTTTTGCTGCATCCCTAAGATTTTGGACCATTGTGTTTTCATTTTCTTTTGTCTCCAGGTATTTTTTTATTTCCTCTTTGATTTCTCAGTTGACCCAGTCATTGTTTTGTAGCCTGTTATTTACCTTCCATGTATTTGCATTCTTTCCAGATTTTTTCTTGTAATTCACTTCTAGTTTCATACTGTTGTGGTCAGAAAAGGTGCATGATATCTTTTTTAATTTGTTGAGATTTCATTTGTGGCCTAACATGTGATGTGGCCTAACATGTGATGTGTTCTGGAGAATATTCCATGTCCACTTGAAAAGAATGTGTAATTCACTGTTTTAGGATGGAATGTTCAAAATATATCTGTTAGGTCCATCTGGTCTAATGTCACTGTTTTTTATTTTATCTCTGATGGTGTAGTTCAAAATGGGGATGGGTAGAAAATTACAATATAATATAATAACTGATGTCATCGAGGAATAAGTTGGTAGGAACATCTAACCAAGTTATCAGATGAGGGCAGGGATTCACTGAAATGCCTAGATATAATTCCCCAGTAATAATTAGTAAAATACATTTTTACTGATGTTCTGGGATGGAAGATGCTTCTTAGAGCTTGTATTCGTCTTTTTCCATTCCCAATATTATTTATTTATGCCATCTGTATTTTTTGAATGATTGTACCAAATGTTTATTTTTAGTTTTTAGTTTTTTCAAAGATTTGTCTTCTGTCTTTATTTTTTTTTCTCATGTGTCTCTGGTTTTATATTCTATTGATTTCCTGTACTTTATTGTTTCTTATTTCTGCTTGTTTTGGTTACATTATTGGTTGCTTTGTAATTACTCATGTTTGACACATTACTCATTAACTAACAGCTTTCTTCTTGTAGTAGGCTGAATTATATACTCTCCAAATTCATTTGTTGAAACCCTAATGCCCCAGGACCCCAAATGTGACTCTCTTAAAAGGTAAGTCCTTTAAAGTGGTGATTAAATTAAAATGAGTCCAGTAGGGTGGGCCTTAATCCAATCTGAATGATGTCCTTTTCCAAGAGGAAATTTGGACACAGAAAAGACACTAGGGGTATGCATGCAGGAAAGAAAGGCCATGTTAGAACACAACAAGAAGGTGGCCATCTGGAAGCCAAGTAAAGAGGCTTCAGGAGACACCAAACCTGCTGATAACTTGATCTTGGACTTCTAGCCTCCAGAAGTGTGAGAATGTAAATTTTTGTTGTATAAGACACCTAGTCTCTGGTGCTTCATTATGGCAGCCCTCGCTGACAAATAAATACTTCTTTCCTACTATAAGCATGCAAATGCCATACATTTTTCTGTAAGTACCGTTTGAATTGTGTCACACATTTTCATAGAAAGTATTTTCATGATATTGCATTTCTAAGTATTTCTTTTTTTTTTTTTTTACTTTTTTATTTTTGTGGAAGAGAGAGCGTGGGGGGTGAAGAATGGGGGGAAGAGGCAGAGGGAGAGGGAGAAGCAGACTCCCCAGCTGAGCAGGGAGCCCAACTTGGGGCTCTATCCCAAAACCCTGGGATCATGATGTCATCTGAAGGCAGATGCTTAACTAACTGAGCTACCAAGGTGCCCCCGTTTCTAAATATTTTCAATTTTCAGTATTATTTCTTTTATAATATATAAATTATTCAGACCTATGTTTATAGATTATACAAACATAAGTTTTTTTCACATATTTTTGTTGTTGATTTCTAATTCAACAGCTGTATAGTATAGAAAAGATACTCTACATGATTCCAATTAGCAATAATCGCGCCTCGGATAAACCTCATTGGCTACGATACTGCCACTGCTCAAAGCTACTCTACATGATTCCAATTCTTTTAATTGTACTAAGGTTTTGTGACCTAGGGTAACAGCCACTTTTGTAAATATTGCATCTATGCTCTGAAGAATATGGATGCTCCCTTTTTTGGGGAAGCATAGATGCCCATATGTCTATTAAACTGAACCTCTAATTTTATTGTTCACATGTCCCATATTCTTACAAATATGTGTCTTTGTCCTATGAATTATCAATAAAAACCTGTTTATCTCACACCAATTGGGTGAATTTACTAATTTCTACATTCTAATATTTGGTTTGTGTATTTCGGGTTATTTAATAGGTTAATTTAAATACATATTTATTATAAATTCTCACAGACTTGAAATTTTTATCTCCAATAATGTATTTATCTTAAAGTCCATCTTGTTCAAAGCACATCAGTCTTCTTCTCTAGAGCATATAGCTGGTTCATCTTTTGCCATCTTTTGTTGTTGCTACTGTTTGTTCACATTATTTTGCTCCTCTAACTGATGAAAATAAATTTCATATTTTATATGCCAATCCCAAAGCTGAATGACATACTCTAGATTATGAAGGGCATGTTAGTAAAAATGGAAAATGAAAGAGGAAAAAGCTATTGGATATATCCTCCAGCCCTACAGCAGAAGTTTTATTCCCTTTCCTCACCCCCATTGACAATCTGATTTCTTTTTCATGGTAACTTCAGGCTCTTACCCAGCAGGATTACTTAGGGCTCACTTGATCAAATAATTTTCTTTGTCTAAGAAAAAAAAAATTAGCTTTAACGTTGGCAAACAGGGAAGATATTGGAATGCTTGTTCTCTGTACCAGTGCACTCTATTGCATGTAGAAACACATCCGCAACATTAACAGCCATCTGCTCAGTAAATGAAACTTTATGTAAAGTTATGGTATTGGATTGGTGAGCCGTATGATGCCACATAGTTCTAAGTTCTTTGACTCTGAGATCTTTTGTTTTGAAAGTGCCATGATTCTGCTATTAAAACCAAACAGACTACCTCCTTCTTAAATTAAGAAAACGTGGATGGAACTGGAGGGTGTTATGCTTAGTGAAATAAGTCAATCAGAGAAAGACATGTATCATATGACCTCACTGATATGAGGAATTCTTAATCTCAGGAGCAAACTGAGTGTTACTGGAGTGGTTGGGGGTGGAAGGGATGGGGTGGCTGGGTGATAGACATTGGGTAGGGTATGTGCTATGGTGAGCGCTGTGAATTGTGCAAGACTGTTGAATCACAGATCTGTACTTCTGAAACAAATATCGCAACATATTTTAAGAAAAAAGAAAAAGAAGAAGATAGCAGGAGAGGAAGAATGAAGGGGAGTAAGTCAGAGGGGGAGACGAACCAGGAGAGACGATGGACTCTGAAAAACAAACTGAGGTTTCTAGAGGGGAGGAGGGTAGGGGGATGGGTTAGCCTGGTGATGGGTATTAAAGAGGGCACATTCTGCATGGAGCACTGGGTGTTATGAACAAACAATGAATCATGGAACAGTACACCAAAACAAATGATGTAATATATGGTGATTAACATAACAATAAAAAATTTAAAAAAAGAAAAAGAAGAAGATGGCAGGAGGGGAAAAAAAGAAAACAGATTATACTTGAGCTTTACATGTTCATAGGGGTCGCTAACCTCTAAAAAAATGAACAATGCCTAAGACATATTTGGAAAAGTTGAAAAAGTTATTGGCTATTTTGCTTAAATGGTGTGGATGTCAATGGAGACCTTCTGTGAACCAATCTCAGAATAGGAGACATTGGGTGCTGCACTGCAGAATGCACTAGTCACATAATAGATATCTTTCATTCGTTTGGAAATCATTTCTGTTATTTTATGATTTTGCTAAATCTAAAGATGGACAGTTTACACATTTATTATAAAAATTTTCTGGAAGATGGAATATTTATTCTAATAAATTAGTACATTAGGATCTTAGAAGAAAATAAAATGTCTTATTCTATTGGGATAGTACATTTCATTTTGCTTCGATTTACAAAGGATGCATGACTTAGGTAATATAAATGCCTTGCAAACCTACCATATTTTAAAAATATTCAAAATAAAAATAATTTAAAATGTTAAATCATTCTCTGGTTGATGTGCCTATGGATGAAACGTCTGTTTGTATTAATATATTGGCTCCATATGATGTTTCACATTGCATCATATGGTCTAATGCTTCTTTATTGTGCTAGAGTGGTATTGTCAGGCTCCTAATTTAAATCTATAATTACTTTTGTTGTAATATGAATTGGCAAGTAGGAACTAACTTTCATTTACAATTAACAAGTCACAAAATAGAGCATAGTAATAAGGTAGAGATTAATACATAATGATCCACCAATTATATTATAGTATTTATTTGATGAGACAGAAATTTCATGAGTACAGATTTAATTCCTATAACAATTTTTCAGTGAAGTAGATAATATTTTAAATTTTTACAAAATTGTGGCACCTGGGGGGTGCTCAGTTGGTTAAGTGTCTGATATCAGCTCAGGTCATGATCTCGAGATTTCAGGATCCTGGGATCTAGTCCAGTGTAGACCTCCACACTCAGCAGGGAGTCTGCTTGTCCCTCTGCCTCTCCTCCTGCTTCTACTCTCTCTCTCAGAAAAATAAATAAATAAAATCTTTAAAATAAATAAATATATATATATTTTTTGCAAATTCTATGTTACAATACTAAGCTGTCATTTATGCACTGGTTAGTAAAATAAATTCTCAAAAAAAATCAGGAAAAAATAGAAAGCCATTAGAGATGAAAAGAAATTACAATTACTTAGATAAGTGAATAACATTTTTGAGAAAATAGGCAGAAGTGTCAGAAAATAGGAAATCATTTTAGGGCTATTAATTTAACCATTATATAGCAGAAGATACTTCAATGATGAGCAGAATATAAATATAATTTCTACCTCCATATCAGTCATAATGGATGAATTTCAGGAAAAACAGGACTACCCCAAAAGACTACATTTGGCTATCTCATAAGCTTTGTTCTAGTGAAAAGAAATATGCTGTTTCTGATTTAGATAAAATGATGTGAAATTGGAAATTTCAATATTAAATTATTGGTCACTTTTGTTGAGAATCATCCACTTAGAGTATAATCTTTTTTAATGATCTTTAAATTATCTAAAAGATGGTATATATAGGAAATTTTTAGAAATATATAACCCATTTTTCTTGCATATGGTGAAAAATTATCAGACCATAGTTACTTTGTTCTGTCTCAAATAATATTTTGTTAAATTTTTTAAAATTTGTTTTAAGGGTGGAAAATCATTGATTAAAAAATTTGAATGGGTCCATGGGGTGCCTGGGTAGCTCAGTCGTTAAGCATCTGCCTTTGGCTTAGGTCATGATCCCAGGGTCCTGGGATTGAGTCCTGCATCAGGCTCCCTGCTCAGCAGGAAGCCTGCTTCTCCCTCTCCCCCTCCCCCCTGCTTGTATCCCCTCTCTCGCTGTCTCTCTCTGTCAAATAAATAAATAAAATCTTTTAAAAAAATATTTCAATGGGTCCAAAGATTACCAGTTTTGTCATACATTCATTGTAACATGAATCAAGAAAATGCATATCATCGATAGATTTAAGTATTCTGAATTGAAATATGATTTTTAAAAATACATATGTCTTTCTGTATAACAAAAATTATATAAAAAGTGAGAAAATGCTGTTTTTGAATGCAAAATCTATATAATTTTGGCAAGGCCATATCTAGCATTGAGATGATCATTCCAGAAATAATGTGAATGGGGGAATATTCTTCATTTGGCAGGACTCACAACCAAATTTGATAACATTCTGGTAGAATTTTATGCAGAATATAAACATTGATAACATGAAATATTTGACATTGTTTTATACGTTGATATACAAACTCAAAAGATCAAAATAAGAACAGATGCAATGGAATAAATTATATTGAATTAAGAAATGCTTACTATTACTCTATTACAATCCCTGATGTAAGTCATAAAGAAGAGATCATTATTTTACACATTCTACATATGAATATATTTAGGAGAATTTTGTTCAATACTTGATTGGAGAAAACATATACAAATTGTTACTTTGCCATTTAGACAAACTAATACAATTACACTAATAAATTTAAATGAGGGAATGCTCCCCAACTCATTTTATGAGGCTCAAAAATCTTGTTATCCAAATCAAAGATATCATGAGAAAGAAAACATGGATGGCCAAACATATTCATGAGATATGATATAGTGTTTTGTGAACAAGTTAGTTTTGTGATATTTCTCCATTGTACTTATGACTGTGTAACATACTACTTATTTAAATTAAAATATCTCAGGAAGGGGCGCCTGGGTGGCTCAGATGGTTAAACGTCTGCCTTCGGCTCAGGTCATGATTCCGGGGTCCTGGGATCCAGCCCCACATCGGGCTCCTGGCTCAGCGGGGAGTCTGCTTCTCCCTCTCCCTCTGCCTCTCCCACTGCTCATGCTCTCTCTCTCTCTGTATCTCTGTGTCTCAAATGAATAAATAAAAAATTCTTTAAAAAAAGATTAAAAAAATAAAAATAAAATATCTCAGGAAACAAACTGAGGGTTGCTGGAGTGGTGGGGGGGTGGGAGGGATGGGGTGGCTGGGTGATAGACATTAGGGAGGGTATGTGCTATAGTGAGCACTGTGAATTGTGTAAGACTGTTGAACCACAGACCTGTACCTCTGAAACAAATAATACATTATGTTAAAAAAAGAAGAAGAAGAAGAAGATAGCAGGAAGGGAAGAATTAAGGGGGGGAATCGGAGGGGGAGACGAACCATGAGAGACTATGGACTCTGAGAAACAAACTGAGGGTTCTAGAGGGGAGGGGGGTGGGAGGATGGGTTAGCCTGGTGATGGGTATTAAAGAGGGCACATTCTGCATGGAGCACTGGGTGTTATATGCAAACAATGAATCATGGAACACTACATCAAAAACTAATGATATATTGTATGGTGATTAACA